AAAAAAAAAAAAAAAAAAAAAAACCCGTAATCGGGAAACGGGATACGGAAAACGAGAGGTGGAGAAGAACGGATGTGAAGGATAGAGACTTGTAGAGTCGAGATAGCAGAGAGAGAGAAGGAGAGGAGACAGGTTTACTGATGCAATGATGTTGATGATAACAGATCAAAAGGTGATGATAGAAGCAGCAGTTGAAGAAGAAGAGAACCCACGACTACTCGACTACCCGTAACTACACCGCTTCCATCCTCTGACTGGGCTGTGCAGAGTAGAGAGTAGATTACTGTAGGGAGTGATTCCTCATGATTCCCCGTGACGATGATGATGAAACAACAGCACAATAAGTACCTAGGTTTCTCATGTAGCGCGTATACGTATCCAGATACTCTACAAACCCTGGCCAGGTCTTCAACCGTGACAGTACTCCCTCCCCACCGCCCACTCGCTGTCACCAGAGCATTTCCAATCTACATCCTAGTATCACCTCTCTAACATTCTCACACCACTTCAAGCCGACTATACATTGTAGAACGAGAGGCCTGCTGCTCCAAGACAGGTTCGGGTTATCTGATTAACAGCATTATCATCATATGCGAGTACTATACAACACACGCACGTCTGGTACAGCATCTATCCAGTATCCAGTACCCATCCATTACCATCACATCCCCACCCTTCCTTCCCTACTCCCCCCACCACCACTCCACCGAATCCCCACACCATCACCCCATCACGAAAAATCCATCACCATCCTCTCCGCAACCTCCTTCCCGACCGCCGCCACCACTTCCTCAATAATCAGCCTCACGACCCACTCCCGGTCTTCGAATCTCTGCAGCATCTATTTGCCGTCGAGTCGCTTCATCAGCATCGTGTTCCCCATTTTCTCCCATATGCTTCTTTCAAGACAATCTCCATGTGCCCCAGCGCCCAGCACCCCTCCCTCCCCCCCCTCCCCCCTCCACACCCCAACACCCCCCCAAACAGGAATCAACTCACCCAAGCCGGGACAACCTGCTTCCCCACCCTCAACCTCACCCCCGCCACACACCCCTCCACCTCCTCCGCCTCCATCAACCCCGGCATCCTCGACCTCCGAGCCCATCCCGGTTTCATGACCCCCTCCTCGCCTTCCCACGGGTCTTCGACGGCCTCCCAAGCTTTGTCCTCATCCACCCCCTTCGCGGCGTCGGAGGGCGAGAAATAGTGGTGTGAGGTCAACGAGGATTGTAGGGTGGGCGTGAGTGCGTTGTAGATGTTCGATGAAGGGTCGAGGAGCTCCGAGGGGCCGTAGTGCGATTTGTAGCGCATTTTGGGACAGGAGGAGATGTAGTACCTGTGAAGATGGGGAGGTCAGTGGGTAGGTGTGGAATAGGGGGAGGGGAAGGTGGAGCGAGAGATA